CTGTGCGGTGCCGGTACCCGACGGGCTATGAGCGTTATCACAAGTTCTGGTGCCGGGAAGGAGGTTTGTTCTGTTCCAACGGGATTCACATTGTTGACACCGATGGGTCGGAGGCGGAGGTGACGCGGGACAGAGTCTCCATCCGAGACAATCACACCCAGCGCGTGTTCACTGTGACCCTGGACAACCTGACACGGGCAGACGCCGGCACGTACCACTGCGGGGTATTGAGAACTGGGCTTCCTGATCTCAGGGCCGCTGTGGAAGTCACCGTCTCCCCAGGTAAATCCCTGCGCTGCCTCCGGCAGTGTCGGGGCTGCCGGCCTCGGGGCAGGGCCGGGGGGCGCTGGGCGGGGGAAGGGGGCGGGTGTCTAGACCGGCAGTTCTGTAGTAACCCGGGCGGGGCCAAACGCCGCAGCCCGCTCTGCGCAGGGCCCGGCCCGGGACTGCGAGGGGCTGGAGGGCGGGAGCTGCCCCCGGACCGGCCATCGAGCTCCTCCGCGGCTCCCCGCAGCGCCCTTTGCTCCGCCCCGCAGCGCCCCCGCCGGCCAGCGGCTAATCACCCCGCTACTGAGACCCCCAGGCTGAGCTCCGCGCTTCCCAGTGGCTGCATGAGCCGGAGCGAGGGCAACCCCAGGCAGGGGCGGGGCGCCTCCCCGACACGGGTGCGGGGGGCGAGGAGGCGAACGGGAGGAGAGGGGGAGAAGCGGGGCCCAGGGGTGTAGAAGGCCCTCGGCAGAACTACCGGAGGAGTGGGAGCTGCCAGACTCCAGACACGTCCCCCCCGCACTATAGATATCGGTGTCTCAGATATTTCGGGGGGTGGGGCGGGATGGGCGCAGTCAACAGCAGCAGAGACCTCAGTTCAGTTTCATGCTGGACATTTTTTTTTTTGCCACTTCCTGACAGATAAACCAGAAACCTGCCCCAGTAACTGGGATGTAGATCAAGACACTGAGGCCTTCAAGTGCAGCTGGCTCATTTTTTAACTCACATTCAAATGAAAGTGCTGGGGGCAAAGGGCGAGATTTTGGTGCACGAATAGTTTTCATTGGGGCTCAGAGTTGGGGTTGTTGA